ATAGTCTAGCAAGTATATACAAGTGGGTATTCCAGAAGCATTTTTGCTTAAACACCCCCAGTGTGTGTTTGTATGCTATTGTTTTGTAAACACTCATTATTTAGTGCTTAACTTCTAAGTTATTTTGAAAGAAAAAAATTTTCACAGGCTCATAGCTACTCTCATTTTTTTCTTCTTTAAAACAAGTTTCTAAATGTAAAGTGTATTTTTAACAAAGTTATTCTGTATGTAGCTTAGTCAAAAAGCTTCATGTAGCTTGTCTTGAAAAATAGCAGTTCCTACCTGACCCTTCCACTCCTCATGAGGCAGCCCTGTAAGCCTGGAGTTTTCCTTCACCAATAAGCTCGAGATTTCCTCTGCCTCTCTGCTGAATTAGATCCTCTGTTTTTTTTGTATCTTATGTCTTATCATTTCTTGGTTTACATCCCATGTTGGTTAAGAACATCTGGTAGCTCTCCATGAAAAGGTATGCAGGAAATTTATTTTTAAGAATATGCGTTTCTAAAAATATTTTCATTTTGCCCGCATCCTTGAATGGCCCTTTTTGTTTTTCTGGATTAGAATTCTCATTTAGAAATAATTTTCCTTCAGAATTTTAAGGATATCAGTCACTGACATTGTTTTTTAGCTGATAGTGTTGCTGTTAAGAATTCTGAAGCCTTTCTGATTGCTGATTCTTTTTGTGTAATCTGTTTTATGTTATCTGTTCCTCTTCCAGATCCTTGTCCTGATCTGTTTGTCACCAGCATTCTGAAATTTCACAATGACATGCCTTGGTGTGGGCCTGTTGGAATCTAATAGTTCCTGTTCTTAAATTTTTGAGACATTTAAAAAATGTTACTTTGTTGATGTTTTTCTCTGTTTTTCATCAGGAACCCTATTATCTGGATGTTGAACCTACTGGACTGATCTTTGATGTACCTTTTTTCCCAGGCTGGTTTTCCTACTTTCTGTCTCTGTCTTTTTGCTCTGTTTTCTGAGAGATTTCCCCAACTTTATCTTCCATTGCTTCTATTCAGTTTTTCATTTTTTTCTATCTTGTTTTAAATTAATTGTCTTTATGAAAAATATCATCCTAAGTCTTTTGGGGTGCTAGAAATGTTCTGTATATTGATCTGGATGTTGATAACTGTTGATCTGGGTGTTGATGTATATAAACATGTTAAAAACTCATCAAGCATTTAGTGTGCATATGTTCATTAATTACATGTTCCTGTGTGGTTCACAGATTCTCAACTGCCAATAAACCTCAGGCTAAAGACCGTCTGTTTTATCCCCTCCCAAAGCCAGTCTCCAGTCTTCAGAAGCTGGGGGTAGGGGATGGGCAGCTGCCCAGTGGTGCATAGTGGGAGTCTTTAAGAATCCACGTGCTTTTTAAATAACTTTCAAGCAGTTTGTTGGTCCTGTTAGGTCAGTTGCTTTCATCTGCTTTCTCGCTTCTGGGGTTTTGTTGCTGTTGTCTCCTCTGCTGTTATTTCCATTCTTGTGGATGGGTATATTTCTTAAAATACCCATTTGCTATTATTTTAGTGGGGTATGGAAAGGATAAAAATTATACGTGTTTGTTTAAGCTTATTTTTAATCCAGAAGTCTATATTTTTTAATGTTAGGTCATTGCTTTCCTAGATTAAATCCAATATAGTTATGATGTATTATTTTGAAATAAACTGATGAATTTAGTTTGGTTATATTTGTTTGGAATTTTTGTATCTATGATATAAACTGAAGTTTGCTTGTGATTTTTCCTTTTTCCTTTAATTTTTTAAATTAAGGCTATACTAGACTCATAGTTATTTTTCTTTTCTATTCCCCAAGGAATAGTTTGTATAAGATTGAATGATAGTTTCCTTGAAAGTTTAGTAAACTCACCTATAAAATCATCTATACCTTGTGTTTCTTGTAGGGAGATTTTAAACTACTGATTAAATTTCTTTTTAAATCAGTTTTCTTAGATTTTTCTAAGGATTTGTGTGTTTTGAGTTTTATAAGCACCACACCCCAACTAACTGAGCTAACTGGCCGTCACATACTATTTTGACTTTTAAATTATTGGTGTGAAGGTTTTATTATATACCTTTTTTTTTTTCTTTTTATTTCTACTGTGTCTGTAGTAATATCCCCATTTTTATTTACAATATTATTTTCTCCTTTTGTTTATGTATTTTATTTCTTATGTAATTGCATCAGAAATTTGCCTATTTTATTAGTCTTTTCTTTCTTTTTTTTTCTGGAGGGTAGCCAGTATGGGGATCCGAACCCTTAACCTTGGTGTTACAAGGCTGCACTCCAGCCTACTGAGCAACTGCCAGTTCCCATCAGTCTTTTCGACGAACCAACTCTTGGGTTGGCCAAGTATTTTATTTGGATTTCATAAATATGTTCTTGTCATTCCGTAGATTAGGATATGTTATGGAAGAGGTGAAGATGGACTTGTTCACTGAATTCTTAACATTCAAGAGCTATGGGGTGTTAAATAAAAATTATCAGAGGCCATTGTTTTGGACTAAGTTCCTGCACTAGGCCCCAATGGACCAGATAAAAAATCAAAATGGAGTCACTCCCATCACTTAGGTTGTGGTCTGACCTGAAAAGACAGGAGAAAAAGATAACAGCCAATTTCCCAAACAGCCAGTTTAAATCTTCTGTAGGTGTGATAATGAAGTTCCCTCTTTAATCCTTACACAAAACGGATAGCTTAAAGTAACCTGATGTTAACTAATCAGGTATTTTTTATTGTCTATCTTCCTGTCCCCACCTTACAAGGAAAGTAACTTTGAAATAACCAATGTGCTTTTTGTTTTCTGTTTCTGCTTTCTTTAACCTTTTTCTGTCTAAAAAACAAACCTCTCTGCTGGGCTCATTGGAGCACTTATTCTATTTTATGGAATAAGGTGAATGCTTATCCTATTTTATGGAATAACATGTTGCCTGATTCTAGAATTGTAATAAAGCCAATTGAGATCTTTAAATTTGTTGTAATTTTGTTCTTTGACAGGGGTAACACTTAAAGCTTGAAAAATATGGTTTTTTTAATAAAATGATGTGGAAGAGGTTATCCTTACATGTTGTTATCTAAAACTGGAGGCTTAAGAATAGTTTAGATAAACTTATGGATGATGTATATGAATTAAGAAATCTTGTGATCCTTTCAGTACAGGCTTTTTGATTAAACAACAATAACAAAAAAGTTTCTGCAATTGTAGAGCTATGGCGACGAGGGAGTACAAATCTAAACAGATCTTTGGTTCATTCTATTATTTTATGTTCTTATGGTTAAACTTTTTGTCTTGAACTTTTGAGGTTCTTTCACTAGCTTTTGTGACCTCATGCTACATACATTTTTTCTTTTGTGATTGGTATGGCCATAAATAAATGTCTATCTTGTTGGCTAAACATTTTCCTGATTTTGATTTACCTTGTTTGTTTGTTTAAACATTTATACCTTCAACATTCTTACGATGGCTGAATCTTCCTAGAAAATAGAAACTTACATTATCTCTATTTTTTTTTTTTTTTCCCTTTTTTTTTTTGTCTTTTTTCGTGTCTGGCAACAGACCGCAACCCTCAGTGTCGCGC